TATTACTAGTGGTGTGTGTGTGTGTGTGTGTGTGTGTGTGTGTGTGTGTGTGTGTTTGTTTGCAGGGGAGTAGAGATTGACTGACTGTTGGAACACTTAAATTTTCACATAACACATAATTAACTTGCGGGAATTCACCACCAAAAGATGCAATTGAGTCCAAAAGCTTAACAGGCTTAAGAAAGGATTAGACATTTTCATGAGTAATGAGAGCACCCACAAGTATATAACATAGAATAAATAACGTTAGGGATAGAAAACCTCATGCCTTATGGCTGCACAAATCAACAATTAACTGAGGGATTAGGGAGGGGTTGTTAGGAAGAAACTTCCCCTATAGGGAGGTTATTCCTTAACACAACACAAATGAAAGCTCTAGTGCCCAAGCAGGTGGTATTGGGCTCTGATGGAGACAGGCTGCTGGATTAGATGGACCACTGACCTGATTTGGTTTGGCAATTCCTATTCTCCTACAATTAACGTATCACCAGAGGCTGAGGTTTATACTTTAACTATTTCAATGCTTTTTTTTTTTTTAAATGTGGGAACTATAGGATGGTGACAGGTAGATCTCACTTACCATTATAGGGCTGTCTGCTAATTAATGGTCATACAAAAATGTTCAATTTTCTGGACTCGTTATAGGGACTATATTGTGCATTAACCTGCATTACAAACACACTCACCCGTCTAATCTCCCGTGTCCCATCTGTATTTGCAATTGTTCACAGTCAGATTTAGGACCGTGTCCCTTGCCTTCTGTGGCTAGAAATACACAGATGTTGAATGTGCTGTTCAAGATCCTTGACTGTGTTAAATGCACAGATTCACGCTCTTCTCCCCTGCCTGGGGCAGACCTTACGGTGCTGTGGATCTGACTGGGTTGGGGGGCACAATCTATTGAATGCACTGAGTCCAAGGCTCTACAGAAATATTTAGTGGATTGCTGGACATCCACTTGTTGCAACTTCTCATCCACATCCTCCCCCAGCAATGGCAGTGTGGTGCTTCATGCCTCATACAGTCAGTGGTACCCCACTGTGACTGTGCATGTAGATGGGAAGAGTCACATGATGCTAGCAGGGACATTAACTGCTGCTCTGAGCAGCAACAACTTACAGTGTGCATTGCTTTGTAAACCGCAAACCTCATTGCATGTAGCTGCACATCATGAAGAGTAGCATGCCATGTAGCCTTCCTCTCCATGCAGCCTCATTCCCCATTTTGCACAGGTTTGTTGAAGTTTTGCCTCTGTCTTTATTTCACAGTGGAAGAGAGATATAGCTAGATATTTATTTCCAAGTTCTGTGCAATCCACACCTCTCCTGTTACACAGGGCTACCTGAGACTCTTCATACATTTCTAAACTCTACATACAGTTTAGTAATTTGGTCTAATAGGTCCCCTAATCCATAGGCTTTGATAGCTGCACTTAGTTTTTTTATTTAAGGTACATATAGATGCTTCAGAAAGGATTTGTTTCTCTGGTGCGTGCTTATTCTTGTGTTTTGCTTCTGTATCCGGTACCTTCCCGTTTGACAGGTTTCAGAGTGGTAGCCATGTTAGTCTGTGTCAGCTGTGTTAGTCTGTATCAGCAAAAAGAATGAGGAGTCCTTGTAGCACCTTAGAGACTGTTTGAAATGGGCCATCCTGATTATCACTACAAAAGTTTTTTTTTCCCTCCTGCTGATAATAGTCCACCTTAATTGATTAGTCTCATTAGAGTTGGTATGGCAACCCCCATTTTTTCCATGTTCTCTGTGTGTGTGTATATATATCTTCCTACTGTATTTTCCACTGCACGCATCTGATGAAGTGTGTTTTAGCCCATGAAAGCTTATGCCCAAGTAAATTTGTTGGTCTCTGAGGTGCCACAAGTACTCCTCTTCCCTTTTGAGGAGTTCATTCAGATGAGGTAATATTTCTTATGGGTTGAGTATAAATCTGCTTAGACTGTGAATTATGTCTAAGATCCTTTTCATTTTGGGGATGGATTCAGGAGGCTGCATGTCCAGCTTTAATTTACACGGGGCTGGATGGCTAAAGATCAGGAGAAGCAACCAGCTCCCTACAGTGTTCTCTTCCCCTCCACTCCACTGCATCAGAATTCAGCTCATATGGGATGGAGAATCTGCTCCCAATTGTAGAGGAACTGCTCCACTTTTCTGGGGCACTGCCGCCAGAACTCCACATTACGCACTGATATTGAGAATGTTCTCCATTCCTTCTTCAATAACCTAATGTGTAACCATTCAGTTTAACTCTTACTTTAGAGAGGATTAAAATTCCCCATAGTGTGTGGATGGACACTATAATAATATGTTTAAATTTAATCTTGAGTGGAGCATGCCATAGCAATCTTATTCCGCCCTTCCCACCCCTAAATTGCTACAGATTTCTTCCAGCAAGTGAATGGACTTAATAGTTCTTGGAACTTGTTCAAAGGAGGGGGCAGTGCCCTGCCCCCGTGCCATAGTATGTAAGTTGAGTATGAGTGCCACTTACTCCAAATGGCAGGCATGCCAAACAAAGCTTGGTGACTCTGTTACTTGACAGAAGTGGAATTGTCAGTGGGGAGGAAGGCTCTTCCATTTTTTTTAAAATAGAACCCATAGAAAAGAAAGGGCCAAATTCTGCCCTGACTGACCCCTCGTGCCATGTCAGTGAGCTCAGCTGGGTTGCATGTAGTATTAGGGCAGAACTTGGTCCAGAGAAAATAATCAGGCCCTTGGTTTCTTGCTTTGTGGCAGACTGAACTGAGCAGATTAAAATGAAGGAAAAATATACCTAACCCTGAGTATCCAACCATCCCTGACAGTTCTCACTTAGGGCAGTACCACAGTTAGTGACAGAAAATGCAGCTAGGCAATATGATGGCTGGATTCTATCAAAGAGAAACTTGTAACTAAAACACACACACACAGATGCATGTTTGATCCATTCAGCCAAACCTAGATTGTTTGTGTAAGGTCAGCTGCAAATCTTGGAGCCTCTACGT